CATCGATTATTGCCTGTCCACTCTTGTAAAGCTATGCAAGGGCACAAGTCTTCGTTTAGACCTGACAAGTGGCCACAAGTCTCACCAAGGTTAGACGTGTCAATTGTGAGTTAGTGAAAGAAACCAAATGATTAAAAAATTGGCCCTTCCCACCCCCTTCCCCCGGAGCTGATGGGTGTTTCAAGCAGAGGCTAACATAAGATTGATTTATTTTTTTATGATTATTTTTTCACAGCGATTAGTCAACCCAGCTATTCCTTCAAGTCGAAGGGAATAGTAGGGAGGATATTTGGTTTCAGCTTGGAAAAGCACAATGTCGATCATCGTACAGTATTAGTGGTAGAATTATGTAGGAAAATTGAGAATTTGTCCCCACAGAATTCTCAAAATCACTTGGCAGGCAGATTCGTTGAATGGTGCTGATTCGCAGCCTATTTCCTACACGGCCTTATAGAAATAGAAGGCGACATTCAATTCTATTAACTTTTCTTATGCATATTACACGCTTAAAAATTCCTCGTAGCATAAGCTAGGCGCCGTTGGCAACTAGCCGTCAACGTTTTCTTATCTTACTTAGACATCTACCGTAATCGTAACTTCATTTTCGTCCTCCCGCTATATTTCCCATCTGTTCGATATGTTGCTGCTCTCCCTTGAATGTATTTGAACACCCATAATCACTGGAAACTGCCAGAGCTCTTCCAGTTCATCCATACCTCTTTTATTCGGGAGTTTACAGCCTTCTCCACCTACCTACCATGATCGGCTAGATTGCTTCCTAAGTGTCAGTCGATCTCCACTATTTCAACAGTTTCCTGTACCGGTCAAGGATTGTTGTGCACAGTTTCAGGATTGTTCGGCACAGTTTCCAAAGTCCAGGATTTTAGACTCCTCCATGTTTTGCCCAAGCCCATCAACTTTTTCTCTTCAGCATTACCTGCCACATTGTATCTTGGCCTTGGTGCTATATTCTAGAGATAGCGATCAAACCCTGAAGCACTCTTAGAGGATGTTTTACTTATTTTACCACAAGATATGAAATTTTTTGTATCGTTTCGCCTTGCCTGATAGTTGTTTTTGGCTATGATAGAGCAAAATACATCTATTGATTCATTTTAATGGCTTATTGTCAGTTGAGTTGTAAGGTATTCAATATGAAATGCTTTTCGGTTCTGTGGGGGGGCATTTTGCATTTCGGCTAGTTCCCTTTGTTATTGAATGTTAAACTATACAGGTCTCACTTAGGTAAACACAGTAAGCTAATGTAAAGCTCAACGTCTACAAATGGGCATTTTTTGATTTGCACAAATGCAATGGTTTAACAAGGCATAGCACAAACTTGGATTATCGCCTCCCTCCCACCAAACCGAACACGCCCAGTGGGTGTCCCAACGCGAAAAAAAACTTGGGACAAGCTATGAAAAGGCATTTTCATCCGCTCTAAGCTATCTAATCTCCTGTTATACACCGGTATTAGGGTCGGAAGCAAAGATTATAATGTTCATTACAATAATATTGAAATTTTGTTAGGCGGAGATAGTGTGGTGGCAAGTGGCGCCACTTACCACAAGCGTGGTCTGAGGTTTAAAGCCCGGATCGGCTCCCGCCTGAACCAGCCGAGCTCTTCATGCCTGCGTGGAAAGCTAATTAGTAGTAGACTCGTCCAAGGAGCGTAAAAAAAAAGTCCACAATTGGCACCCTCACCCCACCTCGCCAGCCCCCCCCCCTCCTCAAAGCTGCTTTCGTCGCCGTAATGTTGAACATTCATCGATGCTCATCGCCGTAATCTTCAAAATTCTGTCCCTGCAACGAATTCAGTCAACCAACTCTCTTCTTTGGAGTAGCTTTTTTAGGAGTACTTGATTTGAGCAAACAATGTTTTCATGTACAATTTGCAACGTTTAGGTAAAGCATTTAAAGCGCGCGACTTGGGCTTGCTCGAAGTTTTTTTTTCTTCCGCAACTGTAGTTACCCGGCGATTTCGACTTGGTGGGGGCATCAAACGGTCATCAGCGAAGCGATGAGCTAGCAAAAGGGACCAGCAGAACTGCCAAATAGTCTTTCCCCACCCCCAAACCGAACGGACAGGTCTCCCATGCGCACGTTGTCCGCTGTGCTCTACTGCCGCCGCACTCTCACAACTAAGCTCGTGGATACACCTTGTCCAGGTGCCGCGATGTGGACTGTATGCCATGCCTATAGCCTGTTCTTTTGCAAAAACCGTTGACATTGTGACTTACTCGAGTTCGTGAAAGTTTGTGGTAGTTTAAATCGCACTTTTTTTAAAGACTTCGTTTTCAGCGGGTAACTAATGCGGGAGTGGTGTGCCTTTCTCAGTGTGCTCCTTTTGACCATCTATTCCTCCTTGGCTCAAGATGGAATCGACACAATTGAACTGTCAATGCAAAATCATGATCAAGTGCTCAACAGCTCTCAGGTAATTGGTGCTGTAAAATTCTTTTCAATAGCTAATCGTCTATCGATCATGACGTCTTCCTTGCTCTGGCTATTGTTGGAGGGATGCACCTACTTTTGAAAGGCGATATGTAGTTGTGCTCAGAAGAACCGCTGGCTAATCGTGGGCCTGGTTCGGACGAAAGAAAGTACCAGGAGTCCTCGTATGGAGCTCTTTACCAGCTTTATTTCTCTGGTTCCGCTTAGAATGAGTAAATTTAAAAATCCAGGTTCCATTTATAGGCCACGGTGGTGGAAGTGACAGTTTCTAGGGGACATTCTCAGCTTTCCGAATTTCTTGTTGTGATTTTTTTCCATTTTTTGGCAACTTTTATGATTTTTATCTTGTTCAAAATTGACCCTTTTATCGCTACATAGATCTTTCCCTTTTTTTCTGGGTATGCACCCGTGTGTAAGTCACACCTTCGCTTTAAGCGCTGCGGAAGTTTTTTTCTTTTTTTGGCGTGTATTTGTTCGTTCTTATATTTCTTTTCTTCTTATCTTATGTTACTCATCTACACTGCAGAAAATGCGTTTGAAACCATGAAAAAGGTTTGGGATGCAGAAAGAAAAAAGCTGTCAGCTATGATCGTTATCATAGACGTAAGTCGGGGTGTGTCAGCGGGGCATCGATTTTGGCGTGGCGCTACCCCCTTTCCCACCATTCATTGAACGCCCGAAGCTGCAACGATCACAGAAAACGGGGTATGGGACGCCAAAGTCCACGTCTCACCCCGACTTGCTTCAGTAACAGCGACCTCAGCTAGCTGCTTCTAGATCTAGAAAATTTTCGCCCACGCGCGCGCTGTCGCATTAGTCCTGGAAAATGAATGCGCCTTATATCCCAGAGAATACTGTGAGTTGTAAGCATTCACTATGAGGCTTCTATGTGATGAATTATTCAATGCGTCTCTCTTTTCTAACCATATCGCAGTATTTGAGAATAGCCACGCCAATAGAGGAGGAAGGCGTGGTCTGTTGTTGACAGGCTCCGCCCAGACGTCCAGCACGGCACGTGTCTCGAGTCAGAAACGCTGAAGAACAACGTTTTATACAGAAGCACTACCATAGGGTCGAGTTGTTGGGTCGAGCGCTTTAATATGTACTACGTTGGCGCAGCGCCAGCAAATATTTTCACTTGCGGCTGCATCAGTTCATAGGCGGCTTGGAAAGAGCTATCGCGCTGGCGCCGCGCCAAAACAGTGGATGCAGGACCGCCGCTTCATGACGCACCGATATCGATGTAGTACACACCTCGATAATGAACTCAGTTCTTCCAAGAAGAAGATGAAGTCAGAAATGATTCCCTTAAGCAAACAATCAACTTAGGGCTCAGTATTTTTGCGAATAAACGCCGTTTTTTTTGCGAAATTTTCAAACTCATTCAGGTAGTTTTTGTTGCGTTCTGCGCTGATTGGTGTCCATTTTCACGTCGTTTGAAGCCGATCTTTGAAGAGTCTGCTCGCGTTTTTTAAACGAGAAAATCCCCAAGCCAGTGTTGTTGCGGCGATCGTCGCACAGTGTAACGCGCAGGTGAGTAGGTTTTCTGGTAGCCCAATGTCATAAGAGCGAAAAAGGGGCGTGTCGAGACGCCTTGCACATGTTCGTGCTGATTCTTGTTCTTATGTTAAGCATGTTGTCTGTGCCTCTCTTCGTCTAACATCTGAAGCTGGCTTATCGATGCACGCCCTTAGTTGCCCTCAGATATGGACTACATATCTTTATACTTGCAGTGGATAGTGCTTTCAAATGATCAATGCTGCTCGAGTTTTTCTTTCAGGCAGATGTAGGTGATAAATACTATGTGAACAAATATCCAACGATGAAAGTTTTCGTCAATGGGGAGCTTATTCAGAAAGAATACAGGTATATTTAGGATAACTCGTCATTTTTCATTCACTGACCAATTACAGAAAAGATTGCTGACTTGTGAGGTTACGTGACATCTTCAACTTTTCGACATGGTCCTGTTACGAAACCCTGTGACGCAGGGTAGAGGACAGTGGCTGCCAAAGCGTCGAAAGGTGCAAAAAACGTATGGCGAGCCAGGAAACGGGATTTTTCAAGGGGAGGGGACTCCTGGGTGGGTGAGCTACTTATAGTCGGTGAAAAGCTGGAGTGAGCGAAGTCACAACGGCCATAGAGTGCCACGCGGGCGAGAGAAGAAGAGAAGATCGACGCGTTCAAAGGGATTGAGTTCAAGTTGTCCGTAGACCGACTTATGAGTTCGGGATGATGTAATCGATACGAGATATTTGCAGTTAACGGTGAACCGACTGCTACCCGTAACTTCAATGCCGTCTTGAGAAGTCGCTCTTCTCAAGAGACTCTACGTTCATGTGATGCGTGCCACAGGAATAGGCCAATCTGACCGCGCATCAAAGATCAGCTAAGCTTCGCCTCAGGAACCTAGTCCTGAAGATTTTTTTAGCGTCGCGCGCTTCGCTTAAAGCACACCGACTCACGTTGCGAAAAAAAAATTGTGGGAAATAGGAAATTCGCGGGTTTCCTCTAATGGCCTCCTCTGGTACGGCTTTCCCTCAAACTTCTCTAACCTGTTCCCTGTCGACCCGATGGGGGGCGGGGGGCAGCACACTTTTAAGACCAGCTATTGAGAGAATGGGAAGACACTTTTTATACAGCCTGTGGCAGATAAATACACATTGCTGGTGCCGCCAACTAGAGGCTCTGAGGGGTGTAACGCGCGTGAAGCAGGTAAATCAACAAATAGAAGGGAAGTTACCATGGAAAAGTACTCCCTCTCTCCAGCGGCCAGCTACGATTCCAATTCCAGCCACGATCCCATTCTATTCTACACAACGGATGGTGAGCACTGGTTGCAGTAGCCAATGCTAAGGGCACCTCATTTTCTTGATTCGTTTGCCATCTTTGGAATTCTAGGTTTCCTAGTTATTTAGGTTAGGTTTTTTCACATTCATAGCAATATTCGGCATATCGGTAGAAAATTGAAGGTCGACGCGATCGGTTGACGCTCTGACAGCCTTCGTCAAATATCAGTTGTCGACGGCGATCAACGAGTTCACGAATCAAGACCAGCTTACTGCCGCTATGGACACTACGAAAAGAAATGTGGTGGCATGGGTGAAAAGAGGTGGAGATGAGTACACGAATCTCAAAGTGAGTTTGGCAAATTATTTCGTGATAGCATCAGGAGCGAGTCTTTTAGGATCAGCAATTCAAACAAGTTTCCGCTCAGTTTTCGTTATCGAGGGCAAGATACACGCTCATTGTATGGGCGTGGTCAGTCGCGTAAGTCCGTCGTTGGTGCTGGGGTGCAGCCTTGTGAAGTGCGAAGGACCAGGGTTAGTAGGGACCCTCAAAATCCAATTTCCCGGTGCGACCTCCCACCTCCTATGAACCACTTCTCTGAGTATTCCCAACCTCCAGCCACTTCTCTCAGTTTCCCATCTCTCAGTTTTCCAGAGAATTTTCCAGTTTTAGCGGATCCAGCTAGCAGGTCTTTATAACGTCGCATCGGATTGATCGGGAGAAGCCAACGATCGGGAATCTTACTATGATAACGCGTTCAACAAAATCCTGTCAAGATCATATACACTCCCATCGACCAAATGCGACCCCTCTCCCCGGCGACCAGGTACGAGTCCCTCAGTGGCCCGATGGGATTCCTCCAATGATGTTGCACCCTGATGGGTGCTACGTTCCCTTGTAAGACGATGAAGAAGAAGGACGTGCCATCTAGTAAGGCGCCATGAGACTGAGTGTGATCACTACGTGCTGTGCCTTTTAAAACGCTACTCCTCATGATCGTGTTGGGATTCTTTTACCTTGGGCGTAAAGCTGCATTTCATGGCCTTCCGAAATTTAATGAAAAAATAGAAATTTTTTTTTCGCTCGCGAGAGGAATGTGTTTTCTGGGTGGCAAACTGCAGGACGCTACACTGCTCACTCGCTGAGAATACAGCTGTCCTTACTATGAGCCTTACGATCCGCAAGAGCAGAAGGTACATTGTGCTGTTTTTCGGAGAACGCAACTCACTGCTAAAATAATGACCTTGTGTCGTGATCAGGAGAAGATAGTCAGATTTCACAATATTTTTGGACACTATTTGGCTTGGGAGGGCATTTTTGCGGTTTACGTGGGGAGGTCGTTCAGGCCGTGGTGAGCTTTTTCAAAACGATTTGTTGCATGTTGTAGGGGTCCATACAAGGACCACACAGATGGGTTTCATTTTTGCTAAACGCTATTGGGAATGTCAAAAAGGAATAAAAACAAATCGCTTGAAATACGCAGTTTTATCATCTCATTCGCATCTGTTTCAGCTGTAAAGCAGAATACAAAGAGTTTATAAAGTGTTTTTCAACTAGACATGAAAAAGAACATTGAATAAGGTCGAAATACAAGTGCCTTACTTGGCATACAGTGAGGTACACTGCAATTTCTTTAGGGGCTTATGCAGCATCCCTTCGCGCTCGCAGTGGCCTTTTAGCGCCACGCTGGCCCCAGATCACGTCGGCGCCATAAATAATTGTCAGAATCGTGATCAGGGCCATTGATTACCCCCCCTGTTTAAGAGGTCAGCCGGAATTTGTTTCGAGTTTCTTTAGTGGTCATGGACCTGACTGTTTGGATGGCAGTGACAGGCGAACCCTCCGTTAAGTATCCTCTCTGGCAGACGGACCGCCAGAAACTTTTCATTTCTTGCCCCTCAACTTCAGTAGGTCTTCATAGAACATCTTGCTAGCTTCGGAGCCACTAAACGAGCATCCTGGATCTTTCTTCACTTTTACCGTCTATGCTTTCGAGAAAGAACTCGTTACCACTTGCCCGAGAAAGATTTTTGTTTCTCATATCAAAGGTATGAGAACGCGTGCAAGTGATGTCGCGTCACTTTTATTGTGCAGTTTTTTAATTCTGAGTCTGCATACTAGCAATGAAATAGCTGCCCCCTCAACGATGTTTGGATAAGCGACGTCCCTTGGAAGGAGGGGGGGGGTGGGGGTGGGGGCTGATAGCCACTAGCTGGAGACATGGCCGGCAACATAACACAAAAGCTCGGGAAAATTTTTCTCGGCGTAACTCTATACGTAGGGGTAATTGATGGTCCTGATCACGGTTCAGATACTTATTTTTGCTGCGGAGGCCATCTGGGGCCAGTATGGCGCTAAATAGCCCCGCCGCGCAGACTGACAATGATGGTAGTACGAGAAAGCCTTTGCACCAAATTAGCGACACATTGCGCCATATTCAAAAAATGAGTCGCTGTCAGTGAACCAGAGCATCGGATACCGCCGTAACCCAAGTTTCATGAAGAGTTTTTTCGATAGTATTTCGCGAGCGCAATAATTGAGTGAGGCCTATTTGTGAACCGTTCCCGCATGGAATGTGCCTTCAAATGGCGTATATCCGGGTCATACACATTATGGGGCATACAGGAATACAAGAAGCAAGAAATGTGAAAAATGCAAAAGCTGTGTCGGCGAGGGGATCCGATCCACAAACCCACCGTCCGAGAGCCCGTCGCACACACCACCCTGCCACTGCGACACTAGCGATACAGGACCTGTTGAAGAGATATGCGCAGATGACCGGAAAACTCCAATGCAGCTCACCGCATGCCAAGTAGACCATTTGGATTTTGACCTTATTTTGCGCTGTTGTTCTTCATGCCTGCTCCGAAAATAAGACCGTACATACTATACACTGTCAACGCTACAGCTAGAATAGAGGGGAATAAGGTGGTTTAAAAAGCCCATTCTTTTCGAATAGTTTTTGACCTTTTTTGACATTCCCAAAACCGTTTAGCAAAAATGAACCCCATCGCTGTGGTCCTCGCATGGACCCCTACAACATGCAACAAACCGTTTTGAAAAAGCTCACCACGGCCTGAACGACCTCCCTTTAGATTCCAGCTAACCATACAGTTGTGAGCCGTCTCAGCGACAATAGCGCCAATATCCCTTTGTCGGCTCGCCTGCCATCTTTGCCCACTGTGTTCCCCCTACGCTTACTTTATTATAAAGCCATTATACACTATACTGTGCTATTTTTACTTACCGTATTCATAGCTGACGACTAAAACTTCAGTATACTGGAGACATGCGAGATTATGAGTTCTTCAAGCAATGGGTGACTGATAAATGTATCCCGCTTGTTCGGCAAGTTTTCTTCAGTTTATTTTCTTCTTCAAGTCTCTGAAAATTTGAAAAGACGAATGGGTTTGTAATATATAGTTCACTCTATCTCTATTGAACTTAAAGGCAGTTGGTACGATAGTTTAGTACTCGACCTAAAATGCTAGCAGGGCGCTATATTGAAGGAGAATGGCGAAAAAACGAAGTGAAACAGTCAAAAACCTTCGAAGAAAAGATTTCAATCTCAATTAATTAAAAAGCGATTTCGGACAGTTTCCCGTAGGCATTCTTTGCCTAATACAACGCTACATAAATAGATAGCGCGGCCTGCATGTGTGCACCTTATGTACCAGCAGGCGCCCGCAGCGGCTTCATAAAACCCTTCGCTGTCATAAACTTGCTTTGCAAATGGAGCGGTCACGACATCACGCCACGCTCCGTCCATTTGTGGGGGTCAGGACGTGTGTGCCTTTTGGTCGGTACGTTGTAGCTCGATAGGGCCCTTTTAAAAGTGCCTTCTCTGGAAATGCGCTACGCAGCGCCTGCTCAGAGGCGCGGAATTCCGTTCTGGCAGGCGTATTAGTCCTACTCGTCACAGACATTATCGTGTGCCAACTGCCTTTAAGGCTGTGTTTATTATGAGCGCGGAAGACCGCATCCCTTTACAAGTACAAACAGCTTTTTTCATCGCCTTATTCTGTGCAGCTCAGGGAGCTCTTGTTCCCACGACAAGATCCGAAAATGAAGGAATGCGTCCTAAGTTCCGTCCATAGTTTGCCGTGCAGAGCTTATCGCAGGGATAGTCCAGTGCACTCTGTCGGGAAGGAATAACCCGCAATCACAACGCCCCAGTGAACAGATAATGAACACCCCACCGCTTTGTAGGCATGATAAAACGAAGTGATAAAGGAGGATAGCAATCACGAAGGTGGAGCTGGGTGTCGTCGCTGATTCGTGGCGCCCTTATCCACATTTCCAAGTTAGGAAAGTGGGGCATTCCCTCCGGCTGTTTGCAGCGCCATCATGTAGGCAGGCCAGCTTCTGCACATGAGTCGACTGGCGCGACGAATGTCCTTAAAGCACGGTTCGCTATGAGGGCATGGTAGGCGGTTTGAAAAATTCGGAAAAAAAGCTGCCAAGGGTCTCGCCATTGAACAGCAAAAGGGAAACTCGAAATCTCCTCTCAAAGGAGCACTATAGTCTCCAGCAACTGGCCGAGTACGAGGCGTAAAGCATCACTCGTTGGGGCGAATCCAGTCAGTTGGTTCGTTTTAATGAGCGCTAAGCTTCCCCCCTTTCCTCCCTCCCTCGAGGGACAATGAAGCTTTTATCTCTTTCATAATGCATAGCCGTTTTCCAGCATCGTTTTTTTTCGCTGCAACGCCAGCCTTCAAGACGTCAGTATGAAGGCTGAAGTACTGAGAAAAGGAACAGGACGGCTGACTGAAGCCATTAGCGGCCGCTGGTCCTTAATTACTATTGTCTCCTCGCGGCGTCGCCGTATCAATCGTCAAGTGAAGCGGACACTTCACCGCCCGTCCACCACAATTTCCCAGAATTGGACCGTTCCTCCAATATAACAGTGGTGCCAGCGATATGTTTAGAAGTGGGGGTAGACTACAAACGGCTTAACTAGTTCATAAGAACAATTTTCCAGTGAAGTGAGCATTTGAACAATGTAGACGGAGCTTACCGAGAAGGCCTACCATTCGCTGTTCTTCCGCGCATCCCCAACGAAACGAGACCTGACACAAAATGTTCACCGCAGCAGTAATTTCCCTACGCCAGTTCTTCTCTCAATTCGTTTACTCCTTTTACAATTTAAGCGTACTTGAGTAGCTCTGACACCACCTTGTATATGATCAGCTGACTTGTAATTCTGTTCCACATTTTGACCTCGAACCCTTTTTAAAACCCTACACAAATTGTTCAGGTAATTCGTGAGCTCGCCGATCAACGTGCTTCCATCAATCCGCTTTTAGCCGACGGCAAAAAGTTTGCTCATCCACTCAAACATCTTGGAAAAACTATGAAGGTATCCATGTCTGACTTTCAGTGAACTGAGTGTTGCGTGAGGGACTGTCTGTCTTTGGTAGAGGATGGGATGTTCTTCGGGGCTACAATAAAGACGACGCAGCTGGGTTCTGGATCCTGGGCAACCAGAATCGTGAAAATAGGGCTTTATGCTTTTCAATTCGCCGTTCAAACTGATCGTGGGCGGGAGGACGAGCAGTTACAGAGGGTCATTTCCTCCTCAGACAGTGCTGGACCCTTCTCAAGAACGGAAGAGACGAGCCCACTTACGAGGAGTGCAGAATGTTTCTCTGCCTTTCCACCCCCCCCTCACCCTTATCTCTCTTCTTTATGATCAGCGTTCATGGCTCCTTCAAGCTCGTAATCAGACATTATAATTCTACTGGTAGTAAATCTCTTTGAATGAAATGATTCCCATTCCTTTACCTACGCTTAGAGGACGTCTCTAAAAGTTTAGCTTTTGAAAACGTCAGATTTCACTTTACGTTCATTTAAGGATCTTCCGGTTCTTGCAATCGACTCTTTCCAACACATGTACCTTTTCCCGGATATGTCACAGCTGACCGTTCCAGGAAAGTTGAGAGAGGTAAGTTGCCAACCCTTATGTGTTTCACTTGAGACTTCTGGCAGGGACAAGAAGGTTCAAGTACAGCATGGTTTCCATTTTATAGTTCGTGATGGACCTCCACTCCGGGAAGCTGCACAAGGATTTCCATGAGACTCTTGATCAGAAAATGATCGACCTAGCCAAGTTCAAGGCCGAAAATGGAATCACTGACGAAGATTTGGAGGACAATCGCGAAGCAGTAAGTGTTTGCAGCCTTCCGTTATTCGAACTGGAGTTGTTCTTTTATGTCGCCTTGCTACTTAAAAACGCATTATGGTGAACCGGTCGCTCTGTGCATCCCCCCGACCCCCTTGATTCAAAGTCCGACTTCATCTGACTTTTGCTCCAGCTACTCAGTTATAACTACAGATCCATGTCAAGAGGAGGAGTTGGAGTAGTTACAAGTGGCGCGCTTACCACTCGGTTCCCGCGGTTTTGGGTTGAAATCCCGGGGCGATTCCAGCCCAGGCAAGCCTTCTACTCTCCGGGGACAGCAAATTTGTACCATATTCGTCTGGTAGGATAAAACGCTGACTTGTGCGTCGGCTGGCCTCCGAATCATGTATATGTAGGCCACAGCATTCAATAAGCCACTACGATTCTGAATGGAAGTAGAATGCGTGCCGCATCCCACAAAGGGATTGATCAACGGCGAAGACTTTATCCTTTCATCCGTGACAGAACCTCGAAGACCACTGCTTGGAATGCGCAGAACCTTCAATTAGTGTCGCGCTACGCCTTGTTGTGAAACTTTTTTCACAGTAAAGTTGGTATGATCGCAATTCGGTGGGACTTGAATGAGCCCCCAGAGCGCTGCATTTTCTATCATTAGCAGGGCACATAGTATGTTGGCGATTTCCATCGTGAGATTGTGGGGAAACTGAGAAAAGTGGTAGGAAGAAAGCCCAGGAAGGGTGTAGCTAGGATATGGTATGGGGACAAGCAGGAGTAGGAAAAAACCATGGGGGTTCTTTCCAGAACTCCTGGTATCCCCTTCCTCCCCTCCGAATTGTAACGATATTAACTGTACGCGCGCACGTATGAAGCACTAGAAATGGACGAAATAATGCAATAACTTGAGATTGAACATTGAAGGATCGATTTATTCTTTTTCAGGGAGGAATGCCAGCGGCCAAACCAGGCGACACAACACCGCCACCATCAGTTTTCAAGCAGCTGAAACCAAGTGAAAAACGATACTCATTATTGCAGAAGACAGAAGTTATAACGTTAGCAAAATTAGTTTTTCAAATGGCGTCCATTTTGAGAATGATTTTATTTCCTCAGTCTGTGAAAGAATTCGATAGGATAAATACCAATAGTCAAAGGTACCAAAATAGAACTTGCATTTTCTTTTTGGGATATGTCGAGAAGTACTTCATAGTTTTTACTGTCTACTTATTTTGTATTTCATTTAATATTCTCTCCAGGATTCCAAGCATAATGTTGAATTTCGATTGTTATGTGCCAAAAGATTTTGTTATGGAATAGGTCATGTATTCCGCTCCCACCATCAAAGGTACATTACCCTTTCATTAGTGAGAGATTGTAGTATGATGTCTCCAATGGGTTCATAAGGTTTCTAAAGCCACTGAATTATAATATTTATTGTAAATGTTGCCTATTTCTATTCCAAAAATCAAGTGGTGTTCTCGGGTCGTTTTCATAATGATGTAGAGGTCGCCACAAACGACTTGGCTGTGATTGAGCTATATATGTGGTGAAGTTTAGGTGATAAATGTTTATTTTATTCTGTTCTACCGTACCTTATTCTCCTGTGCCGTGTGCACCACACTGATAAGGAATACCTTATTTTTCATGGGGCCCTGGAGCCAGACGGGGCTCGGAAAAATGCGCGCACAGATAAAGGAGAATTTCGAAGACAGACCCAGGGCTTGACCTATTCAGGATAATTTTTCCTTGCTTCAACGTGCATTGACACTTCGCAGAAGCGTCCACCAGCGACCATCAGCGTTTCGAGCGTCCGTCAGCGTCAGCGACTAGGAAAGTATAGATATCGATCTAGCGAACGGCAGCGTCTACCAGCGTCCACCAGCGTCCACCAGCGACCAGGAGTAGAGTGTATGGAAGAGTATAGGGTAGGTGAATGCTGGTAGAGCATGCGGAAGTAGGTGGGAGGAGACAGCTGGATCAGGCGTTGTGAAATGTGGCGCGTGGAACCGTACCGTACTACTACACAATACCGTACTCCTAGTCGCTGATGGACGCTAGTAGGCGCTGGTAGACGATGGTAGACGCTAGATCGATATCCATGCTTCCCTAGTCCCTCGAGACGCTGATGGTCGCTGACGGAGGTTGATGGACGCTGCCGTTTGCTATCTATGCTTTCCTACTCGCTGGCGCTGGCCGGGCCGCTCAAAATGCTTATGGTCGCTGGTGGACGCTGCCGCAAAGTATGAACGCAGCCTAAGTAGTCTGAAGCATAGTCGTAAAGACTGACCCCCTTCACGCCTCCACATTAAGTGACGAGGGCGCTGTGACCATTACAAGTTGCAGTTATTTACAATATATTGTACGATATACTGTATGTATAGTGTAGTTCGCTGCGGACGGTTGGGCGTGTCAGTGCGGCTGCGTTTGGCGCGGTGCCAAACTCGTTCCCACCAGTTGTTGAAGCGGGCAAGTGACAATACTGTATCATATCCTTCGTATTACTCGTTTTCTACCACTTTTTGTCGCATGCGCGTTTCAACAAGAAGGCAGAGAACGGCTTGACGGTGTGAACACTCATACTGCCTGACACGCCCAACCGTCCGCAGCGAACTAGAGTGTAAGTGCAGCTTATCATAGGGGGAAAATTTACGGATTGTTTGAGCGCGGCACAAATCGTTTTTTGAAAGCGGTTTTTTGCATTCGTAGGGTGAGCGCACGGTCCACGAAATAACATTTTTGCGACGCATGTCTATGAATGCCAAAAGAGGAATGGAAAAAAAAACTTTGCTGATAAGGAGCGATCTTACAATTTGACGATATTAATGAGCTCTGTTTTAACTCCTATTCAAGCACGCATAGTTTAGGTGAAAGACCAAGAGTGTACACTCATTTCCGTGGATTCTGGCCTTTGCTATGTCCGAATGCGTATGCTACTGCGGTAGCGTGCCACTTTCACCGCAAATCTGCACGGTAACGGGGATGGAGGGCTGTGAAATCAAAGTGCCGTCTGTCGATTTGTCTCGCGCTGCCGCCCAGTCAGCCACACGCTAACCATAGCCGAACGTACTACTCCTCTGCATCCTCTCACTTCGTGATGTTCCCTTCCTCTGACTGCTGCTCGTTGTGGAATCTTACTGGTGTGTACTAAGTATAATTTCGATATGTGAATGCACTTATCATAGGGAGATACAATTTACGGATTGTATTGAGCGCGGCACAAAATCGTTCATTTTATGAAGAGCGGAGTTTTTGCATGTCGTTAGGTGAGCGCCACGGTCAATCTGAAATAACATTTTTGCGACGACATGCCCTATGAATGCCAAAAGAGGAAATGGAAAAAAAGTTGTTGGCTGATCAAAAAGCGGAGCGTACTAATTTGAGATATTAATGGAGAGCTCTTTGATACTCATATTCAAACGCGCGCAGAATAGTTTAGGTGGAGACAAAGAGTGTACCCATTCCGTTAGATCCTAGTACTTTCCTAATATGTCGAAATGCGTATCTATTGCGTAGCGTGCACTTTCACTGGTCAGAATCTGCAACGTATACGCAGGAGGAAGCTGTGATACCGGAAGGCGTCTCTTGCGATTGTCTCGCGCTAAGATCCGCAATAGCGCCAGCCACACGCCTAACTATAGTGAAGCGGTACTACTCCTGCTACGTCCTCATCACTTCGTGATGTCCCTTCCTCGACTGCTGCTCGGTTGTGGAATTAATAGGTATGAACAAAGCTGTTGCACGATAAGGATGGCGGCAGGAACGCTCGAACGCCATCTGGTTATTCATTAGCACTGGCAGCCTCGTCCTGCACTTTTGAGTGAGGATTAAGTGCTTGCACTGCTACGGACTCCATTCCACTTGCGCATTGGCAAGTGTTTTATAGGAGGTGAACATATAAATCCACGCAAATTAATTCCAAAAAGTAAGCACCATAGTCAGCATGTAAAGAAGAGGCTCTGATGGTTCTCAGCCACTTCAGCTAATTTATTTTATAGTGAAAATTACTGCTTAAAGTCACAATCGCAACTCCCGAAAGATATCACCAGAATGCTTGGTCACCGGCTTGACCACGAGTGGGACACGATTCCGCACCTCTCACTTTCCGGCGAGGGGCTATCCGTTGCGGGCACGCAGTGCCGCTTCTTGGGAGCGTAACTGATAGCCCACGTCCATGAAGAGGGTTAAAGCGCTTCAATTCACTTCGCACATTAGCATCATAAGTAGTAACGGTTGAATCATTCGAAATTGCCCTGCTATAATTAACACATTGAACGCCGCGTGAATTGATATCAATACACGCGCATACTCCCGTTTCTCGCGTTTGTGTATTGCCCACAATTCACGTTTTGTTGGTCGGTTTTTTCGTGGATAATAGTGCGAATTGAACCATTCTCACCGAGTATATGTTCAATGAGCTTTACTCATGCTCTTACGTTTCTTGATGCGCTGAAATAAGCTGCTCATTGGGGTAATTCATCAACATTACAAAGTAACATTGAGTTATTGCACTTCTTATGATTGCTCCGCATCACTGCAATGGTAGTAAGACTTCTAGTGATAATTACGTTAATTTACAATACATTTGATAGTGTTTAAGTCGTTATGATAATAATATTGGGTCGCCCCATAAGTAAAGGCGTTTTTTTTTCTCACTCAAAATATCGCGCTGAAAAAAGAAGAGTCTCTCCATTTTGGTTTTATACCACTTGGCAGAGAGCTCCTTGCCCTACAGAATAGTATTCCTAGTTTCCTTCAAGTTTCTTCTTCCATTAGTATTTCAGTGATAAAAATGGAGTGTCAGGTTAACGAACTTGAGCATTTTCGGCAGCCTCTCATTTATGCCCCTAATTAAAAAGCTAAAACCGCATGGGTCCAGTGGTAAGTATATGGCTAAAAGGCTACGTCTCGTAGGAATATTAGTAAAACTTCAAGTGATTCGAAGATTTCAGTTTCGACCCCACAGACAAGCATCGAACCTAATGCCCTATTCTGTCAGACTGAGAGCTACGGAATCACCTTGTTAACTGAGCAATTCATGCAAGGGTACCGAGAATCGGTTAAAGATCTTAGACCTTCCCATTCGTCATTATCAACGCATCCACCTCCCGTACCGAGTGAAGAAGTTTAAGACCCTAGTGAGCGGTTCCGCAAGCAAGATGCCCCCCCCCCACGCGACCCGAATTTTCCATTTAATGGAATACAAATAAACGGAAACCATGAAATAGTAGGGAGCAACCACACTATCATATAGAGCAGGAAATTATCTATCAAACATTGTAGAACATATTGGGAACAATTGTCGTTTTTCATATAAAAAATTGTGTGAAAAAAACTCAATTACTTGTGGGCCAACCCAATACTTATGTCGTAAAAACTGACGTTTAAATCTTCTACGTTGTCCAGATCCATCTATGCAGCAAAAAGAAGTCATTATTCATACTGAACAATGTAGAAATGAGCGCAAAAGTGACCAGAATGAGCGTGTAAAGGGGTATGCGGCACAAAGACTCCCGTTTCGCGCGTTCGTGTATTGCATTCAATACACGCGCGCGGAGACGCAGGAAGTCAAAACGGGAGTCGCCGCAAAAACGCCGCGGCGTTCAACGTGTTAAGTCTTCCCATCAGACGCGTTGGTCGATGGAAACTGCACAAGCAAAAGCAATTGTTTCTCAAGGCTGACATAAGTTTGCGAAAACGGAGCAATATAATCTGGGAATGTTTCCGTATTGTGGAACCTCTTCTTCCAGCGGTGCGTATGACAATGCTACCTTTATTCCATAATATTGAAGAAATCAATTCTTCTTCCTAGATGGGAGGCATACATTCCCCATAACGGCAGACGTAATAAGCCATACCGATGGCAGAACACATCTGGAACAACGACAGGAACAAATGAGCTGGCACAGTTCATCCTGGGGAGCATTTCGCACTTTGACTACCCCCGTCGACATGTCGAGCCATCAAGTGGAGATCTTTCAAATCTTGTGAAGCCATGAAACGATACCAGTCCAAATTTTTGTGAGCCTTATGAAGAACATATATAAACTCTTGTAAAGCAATGAGCAGGCCTGTGGGAAATAGCGAAAGTGCAAAATGCTTCCCCCACAAGCTGAACTGCTTTGTAATGTATGAGAAGGTTGCTTTTATAAAAGAGCCCACCGAGAGAATGATCATCAAGGTCCATAGTGCCGTCATGTTCATTGCCTTGAGTGTGCTTGCGGAAAGACGAGACTTCTACCTTCGGTGAAAGATTAGCAGTGTCAAAATAAGAAATGCAATGCATACCACTGACTGTATCATCTCAAACATTTGATGAA